TCTATGATACCAGAAAGATATAATACCGACAAAAATTTTGACCAATCAACCCCTCCCCGGTGAATACTACTTGATTGGTTACGACATTTATGATATAGGTTGGTTATGAGTTTTTTCGATATCATGTCTTTCCGGTATTATAGTTGAACCCTTTATTTAATACATAAAATTTTAAAAATAATAAGATACTCGAACTTTCTATTTTTTTTTATCAAAATCCTTAAACATCCAATATCAAAACATTTAGTCATAACTTTTAGGTTGTGTTTGGTTTGTACCAGATCTCCCTACCTTTCCTTTCAAACCAAACATAACCCTAGAGATTGGCAAAAAAAAACATTGAGATTTGAGAATGTCCTTGCGGTTTTAAATCTTTGAACTTAATACCAACAAATGTCTCTTGATATGAAGAGAGATTGGGATTTACTTGTTGCAACCATAAAATATAGAATATGTCCTTGTGGTCATCGTTGGAAAAAGAAATCCTTGGATCCATTGGAGAAAATGAAGGTAATTATCATGGCATGGTTAAAATACTTTCATTTTAACTCAAGAAAGCAGCATATTGTTGGGTGAAGAGAACATACATTTGATAAAACCTTATATTAAAAGTACACAATACTGGTGAGGATGGTGGAGATGCAAGTTGGGTACCCAATTCGGAGATTTTTACATTTCATGGGCCTAAGCTTTCGGGCTCACTCAAATTTTAACAACCTGAGCCCACTTAAGTTACACTCCTACATAATGGACATTTTGGCTTGTTTAACAAAATCACATGGAACTACATTGTACTTTGGGGTAGTCACCTTGTATTTTCAAATTCTAATCTCTGTTCCTATCTATTAATTTTGATCTTTTATGAGAAAACTTGCCTCTTCTATTACCCGAGTTTTGAATTTTATGATAAATGCTTTACCACCCTCAACTTTTTTTTCATCTCTCTCTTAAACAAATAAAAAAGGAAAAAAAAAAAGAAAGAAAATAGGAAAAGTTCAAAAATTGAGTTTGGAGATGCAATAAAGAACTCCAAAAAGTTCAAAACTAGTGGGATAACTCTCCATCACCAATGAAAATTTGGGTACCTAAGTGTCACTACCCCCAGCTCATGACACATTATCACAAGTGTGTAAATGAATATTTGCATTCAATTTCTTCTAGCTAAAAACCGAGGTCCTGAATAAAGTAAAATGTCATGTACAAGAAGTTGGAAAACAGCCTAGGCTGCTCTTTTTTTCTTCTTTTTTTTTTTTTTCAAACAACCATAGTCCACACCCTAACCTTGGTGGTGGCAGAATTTGATCCTAAGTATTGGATAGGACCAGCCAAAAAACTTACCAATTGAACCACCATTAGTTAGAAAGAATGGTACTTACCAGTAAAAGAAAAGATTGTTGATCTCATACAAATAAACATTTACTTATAAACACACTTATTGCTGGTGCATCTGATAGTTGTACATATTGCTAATGTGTTTAATCTTAATTAATTGGGTTAAGTAGCTAATTATGCATGCCTTTCTGGTTGCAGATCCAACATCAAAAGAAATTAGGGAAATTAGGTTCTCTCTTCTCCACCCCTTCCCTACAGTTTTCTAGTTGATATGGAATTATTAAAAGGACTCATTTGTTTACTGATCTAGGGGTCATAAACAATAGAGCTCCAAGGAAGATTTGAACACATCGCTCTGCAATCTACCAAAGTCTTGCGGACATTCCATGGAGGAATGAAACTCTCCTCCGACAGAGCCTAAACAATAGTTAAACAATCTCCCTCAAATACTACTTCAGAGAGCTGAAGCTCCAAGAAAAATTTGATGCTTTCCATCAGGAGAGCTAGGTCTTCAGCTTCTACTACAGAGCATGTAGCAAACCTCTTCGCTCTACAAAATAAAACCATATCACGGTGATTGCGGATGATGATCCCAATTCCAGCAGAAGAACCAGAGGTTGCACCATCAAAATTCACTTTCAACTGATTTGCTTGAGGCCTGGACCAACAATTAATGGTGGTGAAAGGTTGTGTTGTCTGATTTGTAGGTGTAGAACTTAGGTGGGATTGAATTTTTTGTTGATCATCCTCTCAAATACATAAATCTTTTGATGTTAGCAATACCCCACCAGAAATCCCTTTCCTAACCAGTGACAATTTTGCATACGTTAGAGGGAAAAATTCTTGTGGACACATAAGGTGATTTGGAATAGATGAGATTGTGCTTTTCAACATGATTATTCTACCTACATGGGAGAGAGATATCGGCCCTTCCACCCAGAAATACGTGTTTTGATTTTGTTTATCAACAATTCACTCTCAGCCTTGAGCCCTTTAAATTCTTGTAAATAACAACCAAGGTATCTCTCATTCGGTGACATAAAGTTCACATGCAAAGTAGTGTGTATGTTTTGCCCATCTGGTGCTGAAAAGAATGGAGCACTTTGCACAATTCACCATTTGCCCAGACGGCCAGACCACATGCTAACCTATGAGAGAGTGGACCATAAATGAGCAATTTCATCAAGATTACTTAGTCCAAATAATAGGATATATCATCTGCAAACATTAAATGATTCATTTTGAAACCACCATTACCAAAACGGATACCAAAAATATCATGCGCCTCTAGCTTACTATGAAGCAGCATGCGAGATAATACATCCAAGTAGACCTGGCAATTAGGTTGGGTGGGATGGGTTCGGGTTGATTTCGGGTCGGGTTGAATTTCGGGTCGGGTTATTAAATGCTAGATCCTAACTCTAAATGTTCGGGTTAAGGTTGACCCATGGGTCAATTTGGGTCACCCCCAAAAAATAATTAAACTTTATAAAATTAAAGAAAAACTACATGAAAAATACTAAAATTAAAGGAATTAACCTTAAAATTCCAAATATAAAATAAAAAAACTTGAACATTTAACAATTTAAAGAGTAAAGACTAAATAGAAAAAATTAAAGAGTGGAAACTTCTAACAATGCATAAATAGTCCTAATTAGACTTGACAATCAAGTCAGCGGGTTGACCCATGACCCAACCCAGTTTTTTTCCGAATTGGGTCGGGTTGGGTCATTCTCACATTCAGGTAGCTAAATATTAGACCCTGTTTTTTTAGGTTGGATTGGATCAGCTTTACGGGTTGGGTCAACTTTTTGCCATGTCTACATCCAAGGCCAAAATGAAGAGATACAGGAACAAAGGGCAGCCTTGTCTAAGTCCCATTTGCGGTGGAAAGGATGGTAGAATGATTATTAAATAAGATAAAAAAAGATATTGTAGAAACACAACAGGCAATTAAGTTGCAAAATTGCTTTGAGAACCCTCTTAATTCAAATACCTTTAATAAAAAAAAGACCATTCTAATCTGTTATAGGCCTTAGAAAGGTCTAATTTGAGCATAAAGGATCCATACCTGCCTCTTTTCTTCTTTAGAGAGTGAACAACTTCAGAGGCAATAATCTGAAGTGGGAGAGTGAACAGCATAAAGTGAGATCATAAAGTGAACAACTTTAGAGAGTAAACAGCATAAAGGATTCTAATTTGTCATATCTGCCTTGCGAGTACAAATGCATTTTGGAAAGGGGGAGATCAATTTCGGGAGAATGTGGCAATCTTTTTGCGATGATTTTGGCTATAATTTTATTTAGGACATTACAACATCCAATGGGACGAAAATCCATAGCTGATTCCACCCCTTCTTTTTTAGGAATTAAAACCAAATTCGTGGCATTGAACTGGGCTATATCTCCAAACCTGCTGGACAAAGGTAGTGAAATCAGCTCCAATGTGGTCTCAACTTTTTTGATAAAAAATTGCTAATACTCCATCAGGTGCTGGAAACTTCAAGGCTCCTATAGTAAAAACGGCTTCTCGAACCTCCTCTGTAGAAGGTAAAGCACAAAGATGGTTATTTTCATAAATGGTAACATCATGAGGGGACAAATATAGGATCTAAATCAATGAGATGTAGGAATATAGTGGAAAACAATTGATTATACAATCCTCGTTTGCATTTTGGTAAATTACTTATCTGGGTAAATACACTTACTTAGGTAAGTGTTTCCTAAGAAAGATTTACCCAAGTAAGTGCATTTATCCATGTTCTTTTATTTCCCATACAAACAAGACAATGACCATTTTAGTCATAAAAATCTATTATTACAAGAGACATTTTTGTCTCATCCAAGTATTGGCAACTTTTCTCCCAAGGTGTAAGGTTATTTACCCACCTAGAATGTAAGCAATACCCAAGAAAATAAACTTGGGATTATAATAGATAAGGGCAACTTTTGGGCCCTAATATCAATAAAAGTAATACTTTTATTTAAATTTCAAAAATAGGTTAACTTTTTAAAAACAATAGCAATTAAGGGCAAAAACATTGTTCATCTTCTTCCTCTTGCAATTGAGTCATCAGCACCGCCACCCGCCGCCGCCTTCAGCAAACTCCAGCAATGCCTCTGCCTATCTCCAGCAACGTTGTCGGAGGTGGGCAGAGGCAGAGGCGGCATTGGTGGTCATTCTTCTGCCCAACGCCGCCACCTCCGACAACATTGTCGGAGGTGGGCGGAGGCAGAGGCAGCGGTGGCATTGGGCAGAGGAATGACCATGTTAGGATTAGAAGTCCATTCAGTATTATCTTATTTGTATATATCTTCTTATCCTTTCCTTATCATGAATAGTTCAGATAGGATAGGAAAGATATATTTGAGTCCCTGTAAACTTAGGAGTTCTAGTTGCCATAAGCTTAGGAGGTTCGGTTTTACATTCATGTATATATATACTTAAATTCTCAATGAATAAAACACAGAAAAGAATAAACCAGAAAAGCTCTGGTTTTACATGGTATCAGAGCCACGAAACAGGAGCAAGAGGTCTGCGTTCCAAGACCTCTGGAGATCAGTGGCGGCAGCAACGATTGTTAGGCGACAACAAAGGACAAGCTTTGCACTCCAGAATTTTGCGGGCTAACCTCTGCCTCTCCTTCTTTCTCGGTTAATTCTTCTTCATTCGAGGCCTGCGGGGCATTTAATTACGGAATTGGTGGTGCCTTGCTTAACATACACTGGTGAATCTCATCAATCAATTTCTGACGTTCTGGAGTTCCAAATTGGGGGGCTGCTTCACGAGATTTGATGGCTAATGCACGTCTTTCTCCCTTCTTGTAATCCAATGAGCCCAGTGCACCATCTAGGTTAGTGGGCATGAATGCAATCAATGCTACCAAAGCAATTCCCACGCTCCAAGATGGCTGCCAATGCTCCGGATGATGATTGGATATGCTTAGACAAATCGTCATCTGTGTTTCAAAACGACCATTAGGAGTTAACAGCATAAATGCAGGAGGTTGGAATGGATATTCTACTGGCAATTGGATCCATCCGTAATAGATTCCTCCCTCAAACTCTGTGTCACGGGGACCTCTGATCGCGAACTTCCGCTCAAATATATTTTCCTCGAGAGGAAGGCTCATGAAATCATCAGAAGGGTTTGCTTGCATCTCCTTCACGTCCTGAAGGATCCTCTTCACCGTTGGGTTCTTCATGTTGTACTTCTCTTCCGCCATGGCATAAGATAGAACACACCCTTCGATTTGGCCGTGGAAGGGAGGACGACGGACGTCGGCGATAAAGCCTGTAACAAAGGGACTCGAGGCGCTTGAAGGTGTGATGCGTTCCTTTCCTCTGCTTTAGCCAGACGAACCCGACTTCCGTGTTGTAGCCCACCTCCTCCATGCCGTCCAATGGCAACAAACCCTTGGATCTGAGCCTGAGCCCTCGGAATAGAAGTTCAGTCCCCTTCTACAGAAGTTCCGACCTTCGACTTCGGTCTTCTCTTGGATGGTTCTTCTTGTGCGAGTAACAGAGAACTCGGGTGTCCGTTCTCGAACGCACTGATTTTTGACAAGTCTCCAGCGAGTCAACGTTCTGCGGCAGGTTTTAGGGAGATCCTGAGATTGGTTCTTTGTCTCTTGTGGCACCGATCGTGGGCTTTCAGACACAATAGTCGGCATGACTGAAAACAGAGACAAAGGAGCAGGGGCAGGAGGAAAAGGTCGTGGCGGCCAAATCAAGGCCCATACAGCCAAAGCCTCTGCGCAAGGCAATGCGTCTCAAGGAGAATCAATTGATGCAACCAAGACTGGGTTAAATGGACTGAGTAGTGAGCAGTGGAACATGTTACTCAAACTTTTGAACACACAGAAAGAGGGGAGTCAACGACTAAGTGGTAAGCAAAAATTGACAGAATGGATAATAGACACAGGGGCCTCTCATCATATGACAGGAAGCCTCAAGTCGATGAGAGACATAAAGAATGTCATTTCGTGCTCTGTCGGGCTACCAGACGGGAAAGCGACAATAGCAGAGAAAGAAGGCATAGTTGCATTGGACGATCATCTGAAACTGACTAGTGTTTTATATGTGCCTAGTTTGAATTGCAATTTACTTTCCGTATCGCAACTGATTGAGGAATCGAATTGTATTGTCCATTTCACTAATAAATTCTGTGTAATATAGGACCGCACTACGAGGATGCTGATTGGAGCGGGTGAGCAGCGAGAGGAACTCTATTATTTCCGGAGCATTGCATCAAAAAGAGCAATGAAGACTACAGAAAGCAGGACGAATGGTGATATTTGGCATCAAAGGTTAGGGCATCCTTCTTATAGAATTATTAAGTTGTTGCCTTTTATTAGTACTAAGAATAATAATGATGACAATATTAAGGGTTGTGATGCATGCTTCCGAGCTAAACAATGTTGAGAAGAGTTTATTTCTAGTAATAATAAAGCATCCGACATTTTTGAGTTAATTCATTGTGATTTGTGGGGTCCTTATAAAACTACAACTTCTTGTGGTGCTCATTATTTCTTGACCATAGTAGACGGTTTTTCTATAGGTGTTTGGATTTATCTTCTGGTTGATAAGACGGAAGTGGGACGGGTTCTTCGAAATTTTTTTGCTATGGTTCAAAGGCAATTTAACAAACCTGTAAAGGTGATCCGTACTGATAATGGGACTGAGTTTGTATGCTTGGCTAGCTATTTTGCTGAAAGTGGTATTATTCATCAAACCACTTGTGTCGGGACCTCTCAACAAAACGGGAGGGTTGAACGCAAGCACCGCCACATACTCAATGTTGCCCGAGCTTTGCGCTTTCAAGCCAACTTGCCTATTGATTTTTGGGGGAATGTGTCCTGACCGTATGTTATTTGATCAATCAGACACCGTCCATTCTGTTGAAGGGAAAGACTCCCTCTGAAATGTTATTTGGGCGACTTCCTTCTTATGATAATGAGCGAGTTTTGGTTGCTTAGCATATGCACACAACCATGGACATGAAGGGGATAAATTTGCCAGTCGAAGCAGACAGTGTGTTTTTGTTGGGTATCCTTTTGGAAAGAAATGATGGAGCCTATATGATTTAGAGTATGGCATGTTCTTTGCATCAAGAGATATTAATTTTTTAGAGCATGAGTTCCCGTATGCACACAAGGAAGATGCACATCCGAACAAAGCACAAGGTCAATTTAATTGTGGAATAGGTGGGATAGATGAGGTGTTAGTACCATCCACTTATTTACCTGGACTAGCAAATGGCAAGATGGAGGCTAACCAGCAAGGTGAACTCGCTGAAGAAGGAACCCGCATAGACCCGAATGCAAATGCTGGTGAACCCATGCATTCTTGTGACGCCACCACAGAAAATGCAAACGAAGACGGTCATGATGTCAGGGGGGTGGCGATGTTAAGCAACAACAACACTCTGAATTTCATTTGGGGTGTGGGCATCGACAGAAACAATAGTTCACAAGGTTGAGAGATTATATGCTTCACACCACACAACACTTGAGTCCCTCTCCGTGTCCCTTTGCAAGCTCACTCGGCCAATCACATTCTGCAGGTAGTCCTTATCCCATAGATAACTATGTGAACTGTAACAATTTTTCTTATCAACATCGTGCTTTCTTGGCAGCCATTACTGCAGGAGTTAAACCTACTTCTTTTGTTGAGACCGTAAAGGATGAAAAATTGAGGGATGCAATGCAGAAAGAAATACGGGCACTTGAAAATAATCAGACATGGACTGTGGAGTCTTTGCCATCCAGAAAGCGAGCCATAGGATGCAAATGGGTGTATCGAATTAAGTATAACACTGATGGGACAATGGAAAGATACAAAGCCCGTCTCGTGATTTTTGGGAACAAGTAGGTTGAGGGAATTGATTATAATGAAATTTTTGCCCCAATTGCAAAAATGGTTACTATTCGTACCTTCCTTGCAGTCGCAGCAGCTAGAAATTGGGAGCTTCATCAAATGAACATACATAACGCATTATTGCATGGTGACCTTCATGAGGAAGTCTACATGTGAATGCCTCCTAGTTTTCAGTCGGATAAACTAGGTATGGTGTGTCAGTTGCGAAAATCTCTGTATGGCTTAAAACAAGTGCTAAGATGTTGGTTTGCTAAATTAACCACAGCCTTGAAGACATATGGGTTTCAGCAATCATGTTCAGATTACTCCCTCTTCACCTTTCGTCGAAACAGGGTGCATGTGCTTGTTCTCGTGTATGTGGACGACATTATCGTGTCAGGTAATGATCATATGGCAATTCAAGTCTTCAAGAAATATTTGAGTGACTGCTTCCATATGAAAGACTTGGGACCACTGAAATATTTTTTGGGCATTAAAGTTGCCCGAAACTCAACAGGAATCTTTCTGTCTCAACGTAAGTATGCTTTGGATATTATATCTGAAGTTGAATTACTTGGTGCAAAACCTACTCCTTTTCCTCTGGAGCAGAATCACAATATCGCCTTGACAGATGGGCCTCTCTTATCTGATCCTGAGCGATACAAGCGCTTGGTGGGCAGGCTTATTTATCTTTCAGCAACTCGTCCAGAGTTGTCTTATTGTGTGCATGTTCTGTCCCAATTTATGCAGCAACCGCAAGAAAGACATTGGGAGGCTGCATTGCGAGTGGTTCACTATTTGAAAGGAAATCCTGGTCAAGGAATTCTCTTGCGTTTAGATTGTGACTTACAGTTATATGCATGGTGTGATTCAGACTGGGCGAGCTGTCCTTTGTCCCGACATTCTCTGTCTGGATGGTTTATTCTACTTGGGAAATCGCCTATTTCCTGGAAAACTAAGAAGCAACACACTGTAGATCGTTCTTCAGCGGAAGCAGAGTATCGCTCTATGGCCACAACCACGTGTGAATTAAAATGGTTGAAGGGATTGTTATTGGCTCTTGGAATTACGCATTCAAACCCAATGCGATTATATTGTGATAGTCAGGCAGCCTTGCATATTGCAGCAAACCCAATGTTTCATGAGCGTACGAAACATATTGAAGTTGATTGCCATTTTGTATGTGATGAGATTCAAAATGGTTGCATTTGTCCTGCTTATGCGTCGACTACCGTTCAGTTGGCAGACATTTTTACAAAAGGCACTGGGTTGCAGAGAATTTTAGTACTTTCTCCGCAAGTTGGGCATTCACAATCTACATGCTCCAACTTGAGGGGGGTGTTAGGATTAGGAGTCCGTTCAGTATTATCTTATTTGTATATATCTTATTATCCTTTCCTTATCATGAATAGTTCAGATAAGATAGGAAAGATATATTTGAGTCCTTGTAAATTTAGGAGTTCTAGTTGCCATAAGCTTAAGAGGTTCAGTTTTACATTCATGTATATATACTTAAATTCTCAATGAATAAAACACAGAAAAGAATAAACCAGAAAAGCTCTGGTTTTATAGACCACCAGTGCTGTCGCCGCCACCTCTGCCTCCGCCCACCTCCAACAACGTTGCCAGAGATAAGCGGTGGTATTGCCAGAGTTTGCCGGAGGTGCAACCAATTACACCTCTCTCGGTGCTTCCAATATATTTCTTAAAGAAAGAGGCAATTGTTTAGTTGATGTTTGAGAGTACTTTCCTCCTGGAGATTTGCTTCGGTTCTAGGTCCACATTGAAGTAAAGTAATGCCATCCAAAGAGTGTCTTTACACGCTCTCGGAAATTTCCCTGGTGTTGTTTCCCCCAGTTAGCTATATGTCTCACTATATCATGAACTTTTTCTTGAAATGGACCATTGTGACCATCCCGCATGAGCGCTGCATTTCAATTTTCAACCTTGAAATCTTTCTATTCAGTCCACGTGGCCTCAAAACGGAAAGGTCGCTTGTATCTTGTTCGACTTTTGGTAGCGTGGACTAAAAGAGGATTGTGACCACTGCAAACCACGGGAAGATGTTGAACCCAAGCCATAGAAAAGAAGTTGAACCGATCATTTGTACAAAGAGCTTAGAGCTTATTTAGTTGTCGAATGGTGCATATGGTCTCCCCTCCGGTTGGCTGGGTGCATGCGGAGGAGGTTATTTAGTTGTCGAATTGCCAAGGAACCTCCCCCACCTTCACTATTCCAAGAAAGAAGCTTCATGGTGCCTTTAATTTCTTTAACTTTTTTAATTACCTCTTAATTTATGTTGTATAATGCATATGGTCTCCCCTCCGGTTGGCTGATGAGTCAATGTATGGGCAAAGGGCCCATTTGAGAGAGATTTGATGGAGCTG